CCATTGAGTTATTTTATCCGACTCTTTTATCATGAGATCTCAGGGCAACAAACAGATAAAATAATACAAACAACTTAAACAATTCCAAATTAAAATCAATACATGGTTTAAACAAAATAAAAACACATTAAACAATTCAACCCACTTAAAACAGCTTTAAGAGGCTGAAAGAGGGTTTGTTTGCTTTCTTTAATGTAGCCAGCCCTCCATATCCACAGATTCTGCATCCATGGATTCAACTATCCACAGCTTGAAATTTATTATTTATTTCTTAATTCCAAAAAGCAAACCTTGATTTTGCCATTTTATGTATGGGGCACCATTCTAGTACCCCGATGTATATAATTAGGACTTAAGCATCCACAGATTTTGGTACCCACAGAGGGTCTTCTTGGAACCAAACCTCAACAGATACCAAGGGCCCACTGTACATGCTTGAAAGGATTAGCAATTAAAGTCTTAAAAGAAATCACACAGCCTGAGGTCCACCTTAGTCAGTCATTCTTTGCAAAATACATTAAACAACAGCAGACACTTGTGGCCCAGAGAAATCAGTCAGCCACCCACTGTTGGACCTCCAGCCTTAGGCATAAAGGGTCTAATGAATTTCCAACTAACTGAATCTGATGTCCCTCCTTTGCGCTATATATATATATATATATATATATATATACACAAAACACACACAAAATTCCACAACCGAGAGCTTTTCCTAGACTAACTAGCCTTGAATCAAAACAACACCACCACCAAAACAGAGCTGAAAGGAGGACCTATACCACTGGCCAAGAAAGGTCATATGGGAAAAGATGATCCCTCAAGCCACCAGCTTCCCGATTCGCTGAAACTGATTTCTCTGGTGTCTTGCAGTCCACTAGTATAAAAGCAGATCGTTCTTGCTTTACAGCTACTAAAAGGCTGGCAAATGAATCTGCCAAAAGTGCACTGGGAGCCTGTGACAGAGTCTGGAATGAAAGCAAAAGATTCTGGGCTTGAAAGTCATATCCATACTCCATTTCCTCCGTTTCTTTCATTTCAGAAGGCCAAATCAAAGCTTGTTTTCTGTTGCTCCAGAGAATAGGACCCAAAGCAATGGATGCAAGCTACAGAAAAACAGATTTCACCTAAACATTAGAAGCTTCCTGACAGTAAGAGCTGTTTGACAGTAGGACACACTCCCTTGCAGTGTGGTGGAGTCTCCTTCTTGGGAAGTTTTTAAACAAAGACTTGATGACCAACTGTTGGGGGTGCTTTGATTGTGAGTTCCTGCATGGAAGAATGGGGTTGGACTGGATGGTCCCTGGGGTCTCTTCCAACTCTATGATTCTATGGTTCTATTATCACAGAAGGACAAGGCAAATTAAATGTATAGCAAATTTGTACATAATGAAACAGCTGTGCTGTTATTTGTTGTATGCTTTCAAGCAATTTCAACTTATGGCAACCCTAAGGCACTCTGTTTATTTGGCAAGACTTCTTCAAAGGAGGTTTGCTGCTGCCTTCATCTGAGGCTGAGACAGTGCAGCTTGTCCAAGGTCACTCAATGCAGTTTGGGCAAATGACAGTCCAAAACTCAAGACCGCTACATCACAATGACAAGATAGTTATACTATTTGCACACAACTGTTCAAGATCTTAATGACATGCTCTTGTCATTAATACAAAGTAAAAACCCAAATCTGAGATACATTTAATGTATTTTAATGGGGGGTTAATGTGTTTGTTTATATTGTTTTGCTGTTTATTGTTGGGGTAGTTTTATGTACTTGATTTTAGATGTAAGCCGCCTTGATTGCTACGGCAAAATCGGGGTATAAATTATTATTATTATTATTATTATTAGTATTAGTATTATTAAATCATATCCAACACCTACCTGAGCTGTTTGGTGGAACAAGTTTTTTAGTTCAAAAATTTTTCCCACCTTAACAAAAAGCCAGATTTTTTAGGACATAAAAAGCCACTTTCTCTCTGAAGTACAGGCCCACAAAATGTCTCCAACTGTCTTTTAGAATTCCCCAAAGTTTCAAAAGAACCAACAAGATAATGTTTTAAGATTAAGATACTCTTTTGTAGAAGACTGGAATCCATTTTTGCAGTACTTACAAGAAACAGAAGGTTGCAGGTTTTGAATTATAAGTTTTTATTTATTAAAGTATAGAGGTATATTGTAATTTGGAGTATATATTAAGGGGAAATGTAACCAAGTGGAAGTCATTTTTAAATGTCACAAGATGGACTGTGTTGCAGTGGTTGAGTGTTATGTGTAGTGGGTGTAAAGAGTATATTTCATGTGTAAATATGTTTATGTGCTATGTTGTTTAGTAATTATGTGAATGTATATGTCAATAAAATAATTCAGTTAAAAAGATCCAGCTACTCTGAACACATCCAGAACACACCACATCTTTAACTAGGGCATATGCTGCACCTAGGTAATGAAATATAACCCCAATCCTATTTAACTGCACTCACGGGAATAGTACTTTGTCCTCCCCACATATTCCTTAATCTTAAATTGGACTGACGGATTGTGCTCAGCTGATCCAAGTGAGTCAGACTGGATATGAAACAGGTTTCCACCATCCTATTCTGATACCCTAAACAAAGCAGCACAGTGGTTCACATCCATGCACAATGCTTAGAGAAAGCAGCTACTGAATCCAAATCTTCTCTGGGGAAATGTATGAGAGATACACAAGAGGTTTCCATTAAAAAAAAAAAACTTATTGAAGAGTAACTCACGGATCCAACTGTAGCAGCAGGAGGGGATGTTGATAAATGACTGAAGAAGCAAAGGCACCAAACACTCAAACAAACTGAATGAGATACCGTTCAGCTTGGCTGAAAAGGCCACCTAGATGGCTCATCTGCCAGCCTTCTAGGCATAACCTCACACAACTAGCTCAAGGGTGAGAAAAGTGTGGCCTGCAAGGCTGCATGCAACTCCAGCCCCTTTTTTCACCCTTCTAAACTCTCCTACACAGGAGATTTAAAAAAAAATGACACTGATATTCAGCATTGTGACCAGCAGCAAACAGCAGGGCCTTCACAACTATAAATCCTTTGAGACTGGCAGTGACAAGAAGCATTAAGACAAAGCCAAGCTTCAGGTTCTGTCCTCTGCAGCCACATGCTCATTGTTGCCAAGGGAAGCAAGAGAGACAGGATGGCATGTCTGAGCTTCCTTCTGCACCATCACAGATACCACCACTGCTTCACCTTTGAGGTATGGGAGGAATCAGGGAACCAAAGCTGCCATTGATGGCAGTCTTCCTTTGGCCCTGGGATTATGCACAAGAGGGCCAGTGGAAGAGCAAGCAAGCAGTTAGATCTGTGCTGCTGTCACCCAGTGCTGTCCAGTAATAGAGATCCTCCCCATACACTGATCTCCCACCAAGACTTGCCCTTCTCTGAGCCTTTCTCTCTCCTCACCTTCCCTCCCCATCTGTGTGTTGATCTTGGCCCCAGGTGGTAACTGACCAGGTCATCATCTCAAGATGTGCTACCACAATCCTTTTTGGGGGTATCAGGGGTTGGGCAAGTACAACCTGTATGTTTTTTCTCTATATGACAAAGCCTGGGGGCCACATACAGAGCAGCCTGGGGGCCACATACAGAGCAGATTATGTGGCCTCCGAAGCTCTCAACCCTTGCTTCCCTTTTCCCTAAAAAAATTTCCAACCAAAACATTTAAGTACCATGCACTGGAGTTGTCAGTGTATGTGTCCCTTACCTCCACCAACCTCCACCCCACTCCCAAATCAAAAGTCAGACAGAACTCAGCCAGTTCCTAGAATAAAAAGGGATGTGATGTCACTTCCAATCACACTGCTGCATCCCTCTTTACATCTCCTGACTTCCCGGCAGTTGATCCTCCCTGGCTAAAAGGAAAAAGCCATGTGACCCTTGCAACAAAAGAGTCACAAAGCTTCAAACAGAGCTGACTAAACCAAAAGTCAGAATGTCAACCTGCAAAGTGTTCCCCCAGCCACGTCAACAGCCTGCAAGAACATTTGTTGCAGTTTTTAGAACAGGGACCAGTTGAAACAATAGTAATAACAATGAAAAAACGAACCAAAGGAGTACATTTCAAGTCTGACCTTACCTTCCTTGGCCGAAGCATGGGCCCGGGATGTTGGCAGTCGACGCAGCCTGTGTTTGCCAATCTGTACAAGACCCTTAGTCCCAGATCTCCTGACTGTGGATGAGGGCCTTCCCCGGGGGGAATTCTTTTTCCTAAGAGTATAGCGGCTTTTTAAGACCACAGTAGAGAAGGCGGCGTTCCTCTTCTCAGCTGGGGAGCTGCAAGGACAATAAAGACAATGATGAAGATGGCAATCCTCATTTGCTACCACATCAGAGTTGGGAACAGGAACACATTCATAGGTACTCAAAGCAATAGGGCTACCATTTTTTCAAAATGCTCCTATCTCCATGCCACTCCACAAACATGTCAAAGCAACCAAATCACATGGGAAGCAAAGTCCAGTATACCCACAGCTCCAAGGGGTTTTGCCCACTGCCCTCTTTCTTTTCCAGAGCTGTCATATAGAGAAAAAACATACAGAAAAAGTAGACAGGGGTTCATTTTTTTTCTCTCTCTCTCAGAATACCAGAACTCAATGCATTGCTAAAGCTAAATAATGTGAAATATAGGACAGGCACATGGACGTATCTCTTCCCTTAGCAAAGAGTTAAACTGTGGGAACCACAGGCGCAAGACATAGGTGTGGCTGGAAATTTGGTGGCTTTAAAAGAGGAACAGGAAAAATTAATGGAAGAAGGGATCGTGAATGGCTACTAGTCACCATGTCTATATATTACTTCTAGTAGAACAGGTTGTTACCATTGTTACTGTTGTTATGTATCCTCAAGCTGACACTGACATGGCAATACTGTCATAGGGTTTACTTGGCAAGATTTATTATTCAGAGGTGACTTGCCATTGTCTTCCTTGGAGGCTAGGAGAGTGTGATTTGTTACCCAGAGAGTGTCCATGGCTGAGCAGGGATTTGAACCTTGATCTCCTAGAATCCTAGTCTAACCCTCCAACCACTACAGCACACTGGCCTTCAGTCAGAAGCAGTATTCCTCTGTATAACAGTTGACAGGGAGCATGAAATGGAGGATGCAACTGTATTCATGTCCTGCTGGTGAGCTCCCCATGGTCAAATAGGTGGCCTCTGTGTGAGCAGAATGTTTGACTAGACAGACCTTCCTTCTCCCCTAGCATGATGAAAGTCCAATAAGCCAGGACCACAGAACTTATTCTGTCCAGTACATAGCACACTCCTGTGCAAATTACATGAGAAACAACACAGCAATGAGCTAAATACAGATATCTACTCACCTCCACCATGAAACACTAACAACAACAATAATAATATTGGTACCATCAACTAACTGAAAACTAGATTCTTATGGCAGAACCAATTAGAAAAGAAAAGACATTCTGGAATATGGGAAGCAAGCACCTCAGAAAAAAAGCCCAGGCTGCACTCCTTCACCTGTGTCCCAGAAGAATTTTTGCCTCCTGAGGGGGAAACATTCAAACACACAATCCCATTACAGGTTGAGACTCCCTTATCCGAAATACTTGGGACCAGATGTGTTGTGGATTTCAGAGTTTTTTAGATTTGGAAATTTTTTGCATACACATAAGATACCCTGGAGATGGGACCTAAGTCTAAACATGAAATCATTTATGTTTTATATATACTTTATACATGTAAGCTGAAGATCATTGTATACACAATATTTTTAATACTTTTGTGCATGAAATAGAGTTTGTTCACATTGAACCATCAGAAAGCAAAGGTATCACAATCTCAGTCACTCATGGGGACATTTAGATTTTGGAATATTTTTGAATTTGGAATTCCGGATAAGGGAGACTCAGCCGGTAAATACATTCAGAAATTATACAGGCTCAAGTAGGCTCTTCCTGGGGAAATGTACATCCAGGCTCTTGGCTGGGAAATTATTTCTTTCTTTTTATTTCATTTGATTTATATTCCGCCTTTCTCCCAGTGTGGAAAAATCCAGCTACATATCATAAAAAATTGAATTTGGTACTTTAAATGTTTTGGAAATATTTTTCTAGCTCCTCCACTGGATCCCACCATAGTATCCGGCAGGCCTTCCTAGAATAACTCTTTACAGGGATATGTACATTTGGAGCCACTTTACCCCTAGTCTCTCTACCGAGAGAGGCATCTTGTTGTTGTTTTAATTATCTATTTTATATTAGTTATATGTTTGATTTTAATTTTATCATGTTTAATACTGTTTTAAGGGATGAGGGTAGTGGGTGGAGGGTATAAGAACTTGGAATTTTAATTGCTGTATTTTAACTTGTTGTACACCAACCCGATTGCTGTGCAGAGGGGCGGGTTACAAATAAATTTATTATTATTATTATTATTATTATCCATGATTTTACTTATGTTCATGAAATATCATTGCTTGTCACTGCACTGATACACACTTAAGGTGAGAGCCACGCATGGAGCTCTGTTCCTCCAGCTGCCCAATCTCACGGGGATGATGAAAAGAGAGTCCATGAAAGAAGAGAGGTGAGTGAGCAGCTGACACTGCCTCTCACTCCTTCAGCAGTTCACTAGAAAAAGGTGAAAGAGACCAACAGCCTCAGTCCTCTTCCTCTCTCTAGTGAACTGCAATGGGGACAAGAGGCAGTCCCTGCTGCTTGGTTGATGGCCTCCATGCTACTCCACTGTATTAGGGACCTGGAACCTGCTAGAGCGGGAGGTATTGGCAGGTCAGGTCACAAGAGGCTAAAGAAGAGCATGAGTGTGTGTTAAGCACATGTATGTCACTATACAAGTGTTTAATCCAGTCTGTACACTCAGGTCCTCTTGGGGACATATACTTCATTTACATTTACTTCAACCAGCCAGGACTAGACTGGCAACTGTCACTCAGGGGAGTTTTTCACCAGCCACAAACTTAAATATGCTGTCTGAATTTAAAAAAATATTAAAGACCTACCGGTATCTCTTCTTGCAGGGCTACCCAGATGATTTTAAACTATTAATTTTAAATTGGGTATTTTAATTCATGTTGGAGGATTTTAATGTGTTCTATATTTATGTGCTTTTAGCATTTTAACAGCATTTAAATGGTTTTATGTAGTTTAGTCTATGTTGTACCCTGCCTTGAGCCTTAGGGAGAGGCTGGATAAGATTTTATCTTCCATTTTTTTAACAGGAATCTAACCCAAGTGTCCCAGATATAGGACACATAGCAACCTGTCTTCCCCAGCCTGATAGCACTCATCCCAAATTTTACAAAGAAAGAAAAGCCTTTTTGCTTCACAGTGTAGGCCACTGCTCCAGATGCAGAACCAGAATGAGGAAGATAACAGCAGGAAGAGCCTGTGGCCCTAACACATGACAGAATCAATAACCTTACCAGACATTTCCTTTTCTCTTGATGATTTTAGTCCTGCTCTTCAATTTGTAAAAGCCAGTATTCCCAAAAAATGGCCTGGGGTTCCCATGACCAAGAGGCACTCGCCTCAGTGTCTGAAGGGATGTGCTGGCTCCCACATGGGGAGAGACTCCAGCCCCATCACAACCCTTGTGCCGCCATGTGAATGTGGATGCAAATGTGGAAGGAGGAGACTGAAGGCTGGATGACTTCCATTTATATTGGCTGGAGGAAATCCCCAGCTTCGAATGAAGCCCAGATTTCTTCTGCTTCGTCCCTAAGTCCCCCCTTGGCTGTAACTTGGCAACTGCCCCTGAGCTCACAGGAAATTTGCGCACATTTTCAGAGGCTTTTTTCACAGTTCGAGAGGATTTACTCGGGTTCGCCACCCATGTGTAGTTGGCTTTCTTGAACCTTGGAGATTTGATAGCGCTTGGTAAGGCCGGAGGTTTTTGGACAGCAGGTACTATATGCTTTTTCTCAGAGAGAGTCTTTCCAACCATTGATGCTTCCCAAGTTGACTTAGTGCATACAATAGATGGGTTGGGCTTGCCTTTCCCCACAGGGAGTTGTTGTGAACTGTGCAAAGATGGTACTTGTGATGCTGGTGTCTTTCTCTTTGGTAAGCAACCCAACCCATGATCAGGAGCAGTTAAAGGCTGTTGAGGCTCAGATTTCAAGGTGACAGCATTCTTGCTGATAGTCCTACACAAGCTGGGGGCACATTGTGACACACCCTGGACTGCTTTTGTAGTCACAGATACTTTTTGACACACAGTAGGAGCATCACCACCATCCCTACTCCCAGCAACAGTTTTGGAATCCAATAAATATGGCAGTTCTTTGCTCTCCTTTGAGCCACTCTTTGAAGATGAAGTACTGCTGCTTACACACCTTTGAGAAGCAGCAGTAGCCCCTAATGCTGCTGAAGAGCCCGACTGGGACTTTGGGACAGTAGTACTGACTGCTGCCAAAGCACCTTGCACCTGAACAATGTTACCATCAATCCCGGGGCCTCTGTTTCTTTCTGAAAGCATCCACTGTGGTTCAGATGAATCACTGCTGGCATTGCTGAGAGTAGTCCGTGAAGCACTACTAGCAGAAACACTGCTCCCAGAAGAAAGCGTTGGTCGTGGTGGTATGTTGACAAGAGAATATTTATTTCTCCAAGCACTGGCTGTGGTCTGGCAAGGTGGAAAATCTCTCTGTGTTTGCTGGGAATATCGAGCAGAGAATCCACCTTGGTTGGTAAAGGAAGGTCTGGGATTCCTCCACTGAGTGGCAGGTGGGGGAACCGGTGCGTTCCCATGAACATTTTTATGGTCATTGATGAGACCTAAGAGGAAAACAGGAAAATGCCACTGTTAGTCATATCGTCTAACACACAAGCAGCCTGAAACATCAGAAACAATCCAGAACCTTTTCCTTTAAATCAGGGGTAGGCAACCTTTTTGAGCCGGGAGCCAGGTTGCTGTCCCTCAGACAAATGGGGGGCCAAAGCACCATAAATAAATAAATAAATAAATAAAATTTTTAAAAAAATTAAAAAATATGCATGCACACCTTCTCAGCCCCAGAAAAGCCACAGCAACCCCCTGTGGAGATTTTGCCAAGAAACCCCCAAGACTAATGTAATAACAATAATATCATCATGGCAGGCAGCGGCGGCGGTGGCGGCAGGACTGGCCTGGGGTTGCCTACCCCTGCTTTAAATTATGCGTATTCTGGCTAGATCACTAGAACATCCATCCATACCATAACACCATATAGACATTTTGGCCGAATGTAATCCCATTCATTGGGCCCTGTCTCCGAGAAAGGCAGCATACAAATGAAATAAATAAATAAATTAGAAGCCATAATCTGATCCATCCTAAATCAAACCACATTTAAATCATCCTGCTCCAAGGTAACAAAATGTAAACAGTTACCAACACAGCAACCTAAATATTGTGCTGAGTTTTTGCTGTTGTCATTGTGTGCCTTATGGTGAACCTAAGGCAAACCTATCATGGGGTTTTCCTGGCAAGATTTGTTCAGAGGAGGTTTGCCATTGCCTTCCCCCGAGGATGAGTGTGACTTGCCCAAGGTCACCCAGTGAGTCTCATGGCCAAGCTGGGAATCGAACCCTGGTCTCCAGAGTCATAGTCAAACCACACTAGTTCCTTATGCACTTCATTGATTGATTGATTGATGGCACTTCTACCCCACTTCCTTCCATCAAAAAAAATGTTGGGACTCAAAAGCAGCTCACAATTTAAAAAATAGATCAACACAACTGAAAATATACCACAAATGCACTTATTGATTGATTGATTTACAACATTTCTATCTCTCCTTTCTTCCAAAATGGGATCCAAGGAGTTGTGATTGTATTTCTATAATAAATGTTTTATACCCCACTTCCCCCCACCACCAAAATGGGACTCAATGCAGCTCACAATTAAAAAAGGAACAATGCAACTAAAAACATATCACAAAAGGTATTGTTGCTATTATTCTATTTATCCGTATAATAAATTTATTATATATCATCTCCCATATCACAAAAGGTGCTGTTGCTATTATTCTATTTATCCATATAATAAATTTATTATATACCATCTCCTCCGCAAAAACTT